CGCTCCCTCCTCATGGAAGTGATGCTGGATGAATGAGGGGTAGATGAAGGCTCCCGGCACATGGGATAGAACACGTGGCGCCAGATCCGCCACTGCTCGCACCACACGCTTGCGCACCGATCAGGGCCCCGGACCCGTCATGACCACATGAATCTCGGTGTAAGGCCGCCGCTCCCGCTTCTGCGCCGCGAAGACCAGGAAGTGGTACATCGCATTGGGACGCTGCCCGGTCTCGTAGACGAGCGTCCCAGCCAATCGCGCCTCAATACACCCTTGAAAAGGGGGTGTCAGATATGGCTCGCACGCCGGATTAGGGCGCGGCGCCCCCGCGATGGCCTGGAGCCTGATGGTGGCGGGGTCCACCATGAAGTCCACCTCGGTCGGATGGACCGTCCGGCTTGGATGAACTACTAATGTCAATGACCGGGGCACCCCGGGGTGGCTGGCGGGAACAGAGAGGTCCCGCGAGGATGGGGGGTCTGGATATGGGATCCGGTAATCCCATTCGGCTTCCTCCTCTGGCTGCTGCTGATGATGATGGCCCGGCTCCATCAAGGTTGAGATCGGGCGCACGCGGAACGGGCGGCGATGGCACGACAGCCTCCTTAACAAGCATCGCCGCACTCCCAGGCACGGGGTCCGGATTCCACGGACGTGCGGACTGAATCACCTCCTCCCCGCCGCCGATCCTACTGCCTTGCACCCCTGGCGATGGGTGGCGTCTCTTCCTCTTCGGCGTTTTCTTGGGGGCCTTCGGTGGCGCCGGTCGGGGATACGACGAGGAAGGCCGGAACGGCCTTTCCTCCGGGAAGTCCTCCAATCTCTCCGCGCGCTGCGCAATGTATTCCGGAATGACGACCGCGTTGTACGTTCTCCGTGGGGCCGTCGCCGTCCGCAATCGCGGTTGGATCTCCTCCTCCTCGCTCGTGATCACCTGCGCAATGGAGAGGAGCTCAAGGTGTATGAGCTCCAACAATCCCGGATCGATCGTCTGGAGCTGGGCGAATGGGTACAGCGCGACCGTCCCTACATTCTCCGCTGGTTTGGGCCGCGTGATGACGTAGTAGACGACGAAGTGCTCCCCGATGCAGTGGTCTTCGTGCTCCACGAAGAACCGGAACATCCCCAACGTCACCGACTTGTACAACGCCCGGTGCAACTCCCATGCGTCTTCGTCGGCGAAAGGCAGCGGCTCCACGTCAATTAGCTCCACTAAATACTCTGAGAACTCGCGCATGGGATAAGGGCCCTCCGTGAGCTGGTAGGGGAGGGTGGTGTAGGAGAAGAAGGGAGGCATTTAGTATGGGATAGGGGGAATAGCTTGGAAGTTGAGAGGAGCAGCGGGAGGGAGAAGGGCGGGGAGCTGCGGCACCAATGCAATCGGTCCGTCCTCTGCCCTACGCAGCAGCACCTCGTGAGCTGTGAATCGGTGTCCCCCCTGTCCTTGCAATCTGGCCACTGATCTGGCCGCTTCCACCGCGTACTCGCGCACAAAGCTGCGCGCCGGCTCCCGATTCGGCTGTGGTAGGATCGTCAAGTCTCCGATGAAGGTGGCGACGCTGTGCACGAAATTGGGTGCCACCTGGAGCGCGCGGAACTCAATGAATACTCGGGTCGTCTCCCGGCCAGGCAACTGCGTCACGTCCACGTACACCCCCGCATACGTCAGCCGATCGCAAAGCAACGAGTATGCCGCCAAATCCGCAACCTCGGGCGCCGGCACGTTCACCTGCTGAATGTCGTACCGCAACTGCCTCTCCTCATTGAACCGATGCCGCAACAGGCGATCTGCAAGCGGCGTCTGGAAATGCTCGAGGGGCTCATGCTCCGTCTCGCGATGGTTTATCCTGCTCCCTGAAACTCTCAACACCAATGGACGAGGCAGATCGGGAAGAGGAGGAGGATGAGGATGAAGAAGGAAAGGGTGATCTCGCAGGAACGGGGGTCCGTAGCGTACCTAGCGATGGCTGGAAAGGCCGGAGCGCGGCCGCGTGCCGTGTCAGCGGTCGGGCCTGGGGGTTGTGACGGGGAATCAGCTTCACAGAGTGTTGTCCCTGTGCGCCAACTTCCGTGACCTCGTAAATGCCTGTATAGCGCGGGTGGATCCTGGAGGAGCGTGCAGATTTCCGTACCTGCACCAGGTTTCCAAGTTTATAGTGGGGCAGTGGTCCCGCCGACGCGTGTCGATTCTCGTAGTCACGGATTTCTCGTTGATGTGTCCGATCTACGGCCTGCTGTCGACGGCGAGCTAACAAGGGGATAGGCCCTAGCCATTAAGTCCATGTAGTGGCGGGCCTTGTCTCGATTTTGGGCCCGTGTTGCTCTAACTTCTGTACCTACTAAGGGGGACAATTGCACGTGAGGGACACTATTGGTTCTCAATTGAAAGGGGGACACCCCAGTACTACCGTGTGGGGTAGCCCGATAAACGACCAAAATGTGGTCGACAATGACCGGCCAGGGTCGGGTGTCTCCCACAGTGATATTCCGTCTAAGGGCCGTCTTAATCAGTCGGTTGGCATTCTCTACCAGGCCATTGGCTTGAGGCCAATGCCCTGCCGAGTAGATAATCTTAACGTCTGCCCTGACTAGGTGACGTTCTACTTCGCCTTGAAATTCTGAGCCATTGTCCATGTGTACCTCTTCTACGTCTAGATGCATGCACAAAAATCGATTTACGTACCAGGCTACTTCGTGCGAATTCCGGCAGGTCATAGGGTACATCTCGATTCATTTTGAAAAATGATCGACGACCACTAAAAGAACATTGAGTTCTCCCTGATCGACGGGCCCTCTCAAAACGTTGATATCTGTCGTATCGATGCTAACCCTCTGAAAGGGGTGCTCTACACGAGTGGGCACCATCGTGCGAGGCATCTGTACCGGCACCTTGTTCGCCTCGCAGGCCGGGCAATTCTGAACGATGTATTTCACATCTTCCTGAATTCCCGACTAGTACCATCCGTTCTTTTCGATGGCTTTTTCCGTGTACTTGACCACGAAATGGACCGCATCCTCCTCATGAGCGGCTTATGTCCAATCGAACCTAGCAAGAGGGTGTGGAACTGTCAACCAGCTAGACTCTCCGTCATCATCGACCTTCCATTTTTGTAATGTCGGGCCCTGCCAGCGATAGTCCTGCGCCCGCTCAGTGACTCTCTGCCGTTCGGCTTTGGTAAGTTCTGATAGCGAGTCGCCTGAGAGTCTCCGTAGCAATAGGAGGTCCGTCCAGGCTTCTGCCCAGCGGGCACTTGGCGCAAATCCGTCGGCTGTTCTAGCGTCTAGATACCGCTTCTCGGTAGGGACTTGGTCCGTTCTACAGTTGGGACAGACCCACGTCTTTTCACTTCGGTACCTAACGCACTGTCCGTGAGATTTGACTGTATGACACTGACTACACTGTACCCATAAAAGAAAATTGGGCCCTTCCAGATGTGACCCTTCTTGGTCCGGGATTATAGGCAAGGTACAGAAAAAACAGGGACTTAGATGTGTTTCAGAGGACGAGTTGGGGCTAGACGAGAGAGCGAGGGAGTTGGATGAGGGCAGAGAGATAGCGTCAACCATCTCCGATGAAACCTCCATTCCGGACTCATGCGTCGTCCTTACAAAGCACATGTAGCTCCCCGTAGTGTGGTTTCGTCGCCGCGACTTCTGGCCTCCACGGAATGAGTCGCTCGTTGGTGGGACACTTGTTGGGCGGCAGAAGGCGCGTTAATCCATCGGCGTTACCATGCTGCCGCATGGCACGGTGGCGGATGTCGAAGTCATAGTCTTGCAGATGCACCGCCCACCTGCCCAAAGTCCCCGTGTAGTCCGTGTTGTTGCGTAGGGACAGCAGCGGCTGATGATCCGTTACCAGCACGAATTTCTGGCCATACAGATAAGGTAGGAAGTTCTGAATCCCCCACACCACCGCCAGGCATTCGCCTTTGCATGCTTCGTAATTAGCCTGCACCTGGCTCAGCATCTTGGACGCATACTCAATGACGTGCTCCCTTCCGTCCTTGCCGTGCTGAGTCAGCACCGCCGATATCGCCTGAGGCTGCCAGTCTGTGTACAGTGCGAACGGTCTTGTCGGGTCGAGGCGCGCCAACACAGGAGTAGATGTCAGAGCCTCCTTCAACGCCTGAAACGCCGCTTCGCGTTCCGGCGTCCAGATCAGTTGTTCCTCTTTCTTCAGCAGGTTCGTGAGGGGCTTCGCTATGCCGGCAAACCCCTTGATGAAGCGTCGGTAATAGGATGCCAGCCCTAGAAACGCCCAAACCTGGGTGAGTGTGACCGACGCCGGGGCGTCTTGAACTGCTGCCATCTTCCTCGGATCTGGTTTTAGTCCATCGACCGTGACGATGTACCCCAAGAATGAGATCTCCGACAAGAAGAACTCGCTTTTCTCCAAGGCCACTTTGAACCCCGCATCTTTCAGTGCATGCAAAACCCACTCAATGTGTTCCACGTGGTACTCGTGTGTTTTTGAAAAGACCAAAATATTATCCATGTACACAATCACGCAGAAATTGATCAGGGGCTGGGTTAGTCGAGTTTGTTAACGAACTCTGCGAAGGCCATATTCATGGCCCACTGAAACGTTGCAGGGGCGTTACAAATTCTCATGGGACACCGGACCCATTGCCATGTGCCCTCAAATAGGACAAAAGCGGTTTTGGGTCGGTCCTCCGGTCGGACTGCGATGTGGTGAAAACCGTGTCGGATATCGAACTTGGAAAAGACTCGAGCAACTCCGATAGCATCTAACAAATCATCGATTCGCGACAAGGGATACACATCTTTGGTAGTAATGGCGTTCAATTTCCGGTACTCGATACATACCTGGACCAAACCATTTCGTTTTGGCACGAGGACCACGGGAAAAGACCACAGTCCCAGCGATGGTTCGACCCACCCCAACCGCTCGAATTCCCGTACCCTTTCCAAAGCCAGCTGTCTTTCTTTAAGGGATTATCGGTACGGTCGGCAATGTATCGGGACGTGATCCCCGGTATCAATCGCATGCTGTATCAAAGGGGTTAGCCCAATGTCGTGGTCCTGAATACTGACGGCCTCAGGATAGGCCCGTATAACCGCCAGGAGGAGGCGTCTGTATTCATCCGGAACACGGGTTGGTAACTGAACTTCCACAGTTCCCCCAGGAAGGGAGACCGTCGTCGTAACCGTGGGGACCGCTGCGCTGGCATCGGGCGAGGCCCCAAACAAGGAGTTGTCGGTTTTCGCCGAAAGGACAGTCGCAATGAGTTGACTATCCGACGGACTCATCGGCTCGCTTTCCATGTCACAGTCACTATCCAGTTCTGGTTCGGCCGACGGTTCGACCGAAAAGGCCTGCGCCAGTTCCCTCGGTCCCCACCGATACTCCCTTGTTCGGGGTTGAAACGACACCCCCTCTTTTAGGAGTATCGCGGCTTTTTCATTCGTGAGTAGGGGCCGTGGGGGTCGAAAAGATAAATCGCACGGCCCCCTCAGCTCGGTAAATCTTTCAGGTGGGGGGTCCGTCCTGAGATACAAGGACGCAGGGGGTTCCGAAAGGTCAGCTATTCGGGACACCCTCAGCAGGGGTTCCCCCAGCACCACGGAGGAGAACGCGTGCGACCAATTGGACTCGCTCCGAACTATTTCCAGTGGTTCTCGCCGCCAAGAATGGCGCCACCGATCCTGAACTCGGATCGGATATCGGTCGGGTACATCAGTCTTGTCAGTTTCCGTCGAGGGTTCATTTTCGTCTGGTGACAGGCGTCGGATCATGTTGATTTGATGGGCTTTCGTGGTGAGTCGAGGCGCCGGCTGAATGCGCATGCGCACCGCCAGTCTCATTGGTATCGTTTGGGGTTTGGGGTGGGCCGATGTGAGCACCATCTTACAGCTGTCAAAGTGCATTCGCGCTCCAACCGCCGCCTGGCACAGAATGCCTAGCAGAACATCATACGCCTGTACATCCAGCACGATCACGTCGCACAAACAATGCACCCGCCCCATTCGTATAGGCACGTTCGTTATTCGCCCCTTACAATGAATACTGTCTTCCGTAGCGGATATATACAGTTCATCCGGTTGGAGGGGTTGAACCTATCCTTCCCTTCCCAACTGTTTCGTCAATCTCCAAGAAATGGCGACCGCCGACGATCCCGAGTCTAAGATGGCGGCCGAGGGGTTTCCCCAGACCTCGCAGTCACACTCAACGCTTTTCCAGGCTATAGGATAGGCTCAGGGGAATACCGCAGGTTTTTCCAAGGCAGAGTCTGCGGTCTGGATCATTCCTATTCGGTCGGCTTCCTGCACCTTTGAGGTCGAGGGCTGCGACTCCTCGGTTGTGGGTAGGTCCTGTAGGACCAGCTTTTTGCCCTTTCGGCTTTCCTCGAATCGGCGCCTGTTTTTGAGGCATCATTCGATTAATTTTTCGTTAGCCGCTTCGGAAATGGTTAGCAGATAGGGAATAGGGACGGGGATCCGAAGATCCAGAGCCTTCAAGGCATCCACTACGTCGATATGGCCATCCTTGTATTCAGGACCAGGCGCCGCAAGGTCTTCGAACCCTGGTCTCCACGGCCCGAGGTTGCTTTCCTCGGTAATTCGTTGGGCGTGACGTATCACTCCGATGGTCCCGGGTTCGAACATCGCCGCAGCCATGTATTCATCGGGCCCTATCTCGGTGGCCGCAGGGGTCACCATTTTCGTTGCCCCGGTATCCATCACCGTGGCCACCCTCCCCTGTCCTGCAGCGGTTGGAGCAGCCAATGGGATTTGGGAAGGCCCAGCGGGCCCACCCTGAGCTCGAGGTTTCAGGCAATCTTTCGCAAGGTGACCTGGCTGATTGCAGTTATAACAAAGTAGGGACTGGACAGCCCCGGCCACGGCCGGTCTTATCATAGGGGCCCCGGCGGCCATAGCCGCTTGTTACCGTTGTGCGGCGGCTAGGCGTTGCCGCTGCAGGCCCTAAGCAAACTCCGTCAATGGGGCCATTATCGTAACTAATTGTGCCGCGACCTCCTTCATGGACACTTGTTCCTCACCCCGGCCTCCTTGTGCTTGACTAGGGCGACGGGAGGCCGAAGCAGAGGAAGACGCTTTCCGATCCACGCCTTTTTTTGCCAGACCCAACCCGAAGCGATCTTCAAACATTCGTGCCGTAGCGCAGTAGCTATTGCGTCGAACACCCGACGGGTCATCTTCGTCGGATTCTGAGTCCACGCCCACATCGTAATTTTCTTTCYCGTACTTAATTGCGTACTGAATTAGCTCCGTCAGGGTATGTTCTATAGGGTTGCATTTCTTGCGGATCTTTTTCCGCAGACGAGAATCTGACAGWCCTCTRACGAAATCAGTCCGTACCATTTTCTCGTCCACCCCGGAGCGTTCGGCTAAGTACGTAAAACGTTCAGCATATCTGGCCAAGGTCTCCCGAGGCTGCTGCGTGTATTCCTTTATTAAACGGAGGCATTGACCTGGTGCGATGTGATCAAACCTATCGAGGAATTTCCTCTGGAAGGCTGCCCAATTGGTGAAGAGGTTATGTCCATACCACTCAAACGCGGTTCTGGCTAACCTTCCGGGAATTCGTTCTCGGAGCAACTGATCCGACCAGCCCAGGGCTTTCAAGGCAGCTAGCTAGGTGCGAGGGTCGGTGTTGTCTTCGGAGAAAATGGGAACTTCGGAAGGAGGACGTACAAAGCACAGGGGATGATTGGCCATCCCCGCGTGGTTGTCACCGTCGTTTTCACCCCCGATTCCGGGTTCCACCATCGCGGGAGGCGGGTTTCGAGCCCGGCCTCTCGCTCGGTTCTGATTGCGATTCGCGGGCCTCCGTCCACGGGGAGCCAGCCTACTCAAAAAATGCGAAAAATCTAATGAAAAGATCAAAAAGAAAAAAGGAGAAACTTTAAAATAGGGTAATCGTCCTAGGAAAACCCCGAAGCCGAAACGAATCAGCTCTGATACCAACCTCACGCCCCCTCGCGGTGTCGCGTACGGGGTCGCCGATCAAAGTTTTAGGAGGGGCGTGGCCGAGGATTTTTGGCCGTAAGGGTTGAGTCTCCCGGACGGAACGGGAGACCCTCGTTTCGTGCCAGAGGTTTTCCCCGGAGTCGAACTGTCGCCGCGAAGTCCCGTGGGGGTCGAATCACTCCGAGACGATAAAATAAAAAAGGTTTCCGCAAAAACAAACTGCCGTCGTGCATCAGGACAGGAAAAGGCAGAAAGGGAGGGGGGCCATGGTGGCGGAAGACAAAACTTCGGCCGTCAGGGGTTTGGGGGATAGGTGGTGGGTTCGAAGCCTTCAGGGCTCATCCTCGGTTCTCACGAAGTGGCTGAGCCCTCGGGTCTTTGCTGTAGAGGTGGTTGGTTCAAGGTCGTCAAGCCTCAGCGTTGGACTCACAGAGTCCGCGCGAAAGTTTTCGGGAGGGTAACGCGGCGGGAGGACTCGTCGGCATCCGAATTCGAAATTGCGCGGGCAGCGTCCCCGCACTACGGGAAAGCTCGGGGAAACGTGTCGCTCCCTCGTAACCCAGGACCAGCCGTCGCCAAGAACACGAGTCCCCCTGGCGACACCAGCGACAATCAAACTGCGGCCGCCACGCAGCGTGACCGGCCGACCAGGGCAACACCGTTAAACCCGTGTAAGGCAATATTAGAGTCGGGGAATCAAAACGATCAATCAGGACAAACCCGTTCCCCCTTGTATCACACGCCTGAGGCGGGTCTTGCCAACACACTTGCTCCGTCCACCTCAGCGCGCTCTGTACGTCCGCATCGCAGTAGACGCCGTCGTCATCTGTGATGGGGAAGGTCGGTAGCGAGATGAGACGGTCAGAGGTACACAATGAACACGGGCAAGATCCCGCGTTCCCGGTCATCCGAACCAACACCAAATCCATACAACAATCGACGCAATTCTTCTCTCTCAAAAGTGGGTGCGTCGAGGGAAGATGATGAACTTTAAGCTTTCTCCCCTTGCGGGGGCGTCGACTGTCCGTGCGGACGCAGGCGGTTGACGTCACTAGTACGGGGAGGAGAAACTCCAAGAGCAATGACTATCAGTTCAAAAAGGAAGGCGAGCGGGCGAGAGAGAGAGAGAGAGAGAGAGAGAGAGAGAGAGAGAGAGAGAGAG